CATGAGAATTTGACTACGTGGGCGAATTTCGGGGACGAAATCAAGAAGTGTTTTGGAAATACGATCATGATGAAGAAGCGTGCTGAGCAGACCCTAGGCCAACATGCTCAAGTCGCTGGGGAGAGATGCACGATGTATATTGAAGAAGTTGTCAAGCTTTGCAAGAGTGTGGACCCATTAATGACTGATGAGAATAAGGTTGGGCATCTTCTTAAGGGCATTGCGGAGGATATCTGTCACTACCTTATCGAAAAGGATGACTTGCAGTCGGCCAATGCCATCATCCGACATTGCCGAACATTTGAGGCCCTTAAAGCTCGGCGCATTTTGGCAAAGTTCGGTAGACTGCCCAACGTCACAACGATCGCAAGCATCGTCATAGTCCCTCCACCCAGCGATCTGGCGGCAACAATACGAGAAATAGTGCGCAAAGAACTTGATCGGCGGGACGCTGCTGCGCCGTCGATAGCACATGGTCCCCATTCTTATACTCCATGCGGCCCCCCGCCTGTGTCAATCAACGCTGCAGGCTTCGTCGACTCGAGGACACCGGTACAGTTGCGTCGTGATCCCTATGTCTGATCTGTGAAACAACTCCGTGCAAAGGTCACCCCCGATAGGGCAGCGTAGCAAGATTATCCCGCTGACCATCTTCAGCAGCAAGTGGGGCGTGAAGCACCTGTGTGCTTTTACTGCAGCGTTCGTGGACATATAGCCCGCTTCTGCTCAGAGCGGCATCGGTCACCTCTGCTGTAGTATCAATGACCCCCGGCATCCTTATGGCCCGCACGTACTTGAAGAGACTATCCCTGGCCACCCAACGGCTACAACCGAACTGACTTCACACAGACCTTCCACAGCGATTCGCCGGCTTCTGAGTGGAGTGTGATGCCACCAGGCTCCTCCCGCCAGCATCGGTCACCATCACCAGGTCGTCGACGTCTCACTTCTCCTCCTCCGCCGGGAAACTAGACGCCGCGGCCGATAAAGACGAGGTCGCCGCACATTTTTCACTGCATACAGATATGCCTCCGCCAGTTTCCATGCTACTGAATAGGGTCAGTGTTCTTATAGATGGTGTCCCCCGTCCGCGTTAGTCGACACAGGAGCAACTGTTTCCGTCATGAGCAGAAATTTTAAGACTCGTCTTGGGAAAAAAGTGATGTTCTCTTGGGGAAGCCAGACAACGTTTCGTGCAGTGAGTGGAAAACCGTTGCGCCCAGTGGGATTTCGTACTACAACTGTTAGTTTTGGCACTAAATTGTTTAAGGCAGATTTTGCAGTTCTTAATTCTACTCATGACGTTATCCTGGGGATAGACTTTCTGATTGAATGTGGAGCCACTGTGGATTGTGCAGCTGGCGAAGTTTTATTGTCTGGTTTTTGTGAAGAGCCAACGCGACGCCAACGGACTATCGCAGTCGTTGATGACATAGTTTTACCAGCGCAGTCGATAGTTCAAGTGCCTGTGGATGTTTGTGGTATCACAGCAGGTAACGTTGACGTTATAGTTCACCCAATCCAGCTGAGCTGTGCGAAGAAGGATGTGGTTGTGCTGCATTGCGTGATTTCTGCAAGTAGTGTCAAAGCCTTGGTATGGGTGGTCAACTCCTCTTTCGAGCCGATTGTACTTCCTGGTGGAATGAGGCTGGCTGTGTTTGAGTTCGACGTCAGGAGCAACGTTAACATTGCAGTCATTAGCAACAACAGGAAAAAAAAAATGCGTCTGATGTGGCTTGTCCTAGCGATCACATACTAATGAATATGGTGAATAAGTCGCTATTGCCAGAGAAGAGACAAGCGTTAGTTAGGATCCTCTCCAACCATGCATCCGTTTTTGATTTTGCACTCAATAGCCGTAGAATTTCTGCATCACCTTCACGCACTCGTCATGCGATTGATACTGGTTCTGCCCATCAAATTCGTCAGAGACCATACAGAGTATCTCCGTCGGAGCGTAAAGTTATTGCTGAGCAGGTGGAAGAAATGCTGTCTAAGAAAGTTATACAAGAGTCGTCTAGCCCCTGGGCAGCACCAGTTATACTTGTAAAAAAAGAAGGCTGGGTCTTGGAGATTCTGTGTAGATTACCGGCGGCAGACGTATCCGCTTCCCCGCAACGACGACGTTATCGATTGTTTGCACTCTGCTTCGTACTTTTCTTCCGTAGACTTAAGATTGGGATATTGGCAAATCCTTATGCACTCTGCCCATAAAGAAAAAACAGCTTTTATAACTCCAGATGGTTTATTTGAAGTTAACGTCATGCCATTTGGTCTATGTAATGCTCCAGCCACGTTTGAGCGCTTTATAGAGACAGTTCTCCGTGGCTTAAAATGGGAAGTATGTTTTTGCTATCTTGATGACGTTGTAATCTTGATTGATTTGTGGGGCTTAACATCCCAAAACCACCATTTGATTATGAAAGATGCCGTAGTGGAGGGCTCCGGAAATTTTGACCACCTGGGGTTCTTTAACGTGCACCCCAATCTGAGTACACAGGCCTACAACATTTCTGCCTCCATCGGAAATGCAGCCGCCACAGCTGGGATTTGATCCCGCGACGTGCGGGTCAGCAGCCGAGTACCTCAGCCACTAGACCACCGTGGCGCGGAGACGTTGAAATCTTTGGCCGCGCGTTTGAAGAACACATCGTTGACTTGATGTCGTTCTCACGTGCCTTAAGAAAGCAGCACTTACCTGGAATTCCAAAAAGTGCCATTTTGGTGATCGTGAAACTAGTTCTTGGCCATCTCATAGACAAACATGGCGTTCGGCCTGATCCCCACGAAATCCCTGCGATCAGCACTTTCCCTCAACCACGCTCACTACGAGAACTCAGAAGCTTCTTGGGCCTGTGTTCGTATTTTCGGCACTTTATTCCTAGCTTTGCTGATGTTGCTGAGCCTCTTACTCATCTGCTCAACAAAGACGTACCCTTCAAGTGGACAAAAGAATGCGAGTCATCGTTTGTGCTGCTGAAGCTTTTACTCACTTCTGGGCCTATTCTTTGTCATTTCGGCGCATCAGCCTCAACTGATATTCACCGTGACGCAAGTGGAATCTGTATCGGCATAGTATTAGTTCAGCATCACGCCGCCGCCAAACATGTCATTGCCTACGCGAGCCGTTTTTTGAGTAAAGCTGAGCGCAATTACACTGTTACAGAGCAAGAATGTCTGGCAGCTGACTTCGCCGTGCAAAAGTTTCGCCCTTACATCTATGGCCACCGATTCTCCATCATCACAGACCACCACTCACTTTGTTGGCTCACTGGTCTACGAGATCCAACCGGTCGTCTTGCACGATGGGCGCTCCGTTTGCAAGAATGTGACTGATGTTTGCTTCAAGAGTGGCCGGCGTCACGTAGACGCTGACTGCCTATCGCGACTTACCCTTCCCACGACTGAATGCGACGGCGACAATTTAGACGACTGTCCGGCTGCTCTTGACTCCCGCTTTCCAGATTTGGAAGTGTTTCGTACAGAACAACGTGAAGACCGTAGTCTGGCTCCTTTTTTTCTCATCTGCCATCAATAAGCCACATCAGAGCCCATTCGCCATGCAGGATGGCATTCCTTACAAGCGAAATTTCGCTGCAAAGGGGGCCTGCCTACTTTTGGTTGTCCCTAAATCGTTGCGACCCAACGTGCTGCAAGCTATGCACGACGATCCAACATCTGGGCATATGGGGTTAGCCAAGACCTATCACCGCACACTGAAACGTTTCTACTGGCCCCGCATGCATCAGGCTAAAGCTAAATACGTGACCAGCTGTGAGCATTGTCAACGGTAAAAGAGTCCAACAAGTGCGCCGCCAGGATTTCTCCATCCCATACCACCTCCATGTTTTCCCTTTGAGGTCGTCAGTATTGACTTGTACGTCCTTTTACACGATCCATCACTGGGAACCGCTGGATTATAGTCTGTGTAGACCACCTCCCTCGGTATAGTGAAACCGCAGCAATCTCTGCCGCAACAGCCGATCACGTTTATGACTTCCTACTATGCTACATCATCCTCCGGCATGGGCCCCCTCGTGCCATCATCAGCGACCCTGGCCGGCAGTTTATAGCCGACGTCGTGGAAGAGTTGATTCACCGGTCTTCTTCGCAGTTTCGTCACGCCACTTCATACCATCCACAGACCAATGGTTTGAGCGTGTAAACAGGACGCTCATTGACATGCTCGCTATGTACGTTGATTCCAAGCAAAAAAAACTGGGACGAAGTTTTACCATTTACGACCTACGCCTGCAACACTGCGCTACAAGAGACCACCGGCTTTACACCCCGTTTTACCTTCTCTACATCTGTGAGCCACGTACTACCCTCGACACAATTCTCCCGTTTTCAAAGCAAGAAAACCTATCCCTTGTAGAGACACTCTGTCGCGCAGGGAAGGCACGGCGCATCACGAGTCTTCGGACTTACAAAGCCCAAGACCATTCAAAGGCTCGCTACGATAAACGACATCGACATGTGTCATACAGCGAAGGTGATATGGAGTGGCTGTGGACTCCATATCGCAAGAGTGGTTTGTATCAAAAGTTTCTGGCCTGCTATACAGTTCCTTTCGTCGTTTTGTCACGCCTTACCGACGTTACGTACGTGATATCACGCCTCACATCTTCTGGTCATCGCTCTAGAAAAACTTACGTCGTACATGTCGCCCGGTTGAAGCCATACCACAGGGGACACTGACTAACTCGCCCAGTGGGCATCGTCTACAACGGGGGAGATGATACGGGACTTTCGTTGAAGTGGGGTAGAGGAAGAAGAAGTGAATGTGTTCTGTACCAGGCCTGACTTCTGCAACCATCCATCATCCTGCCTGTACAATTAACATCTCTCACCTGTGTGTGTGCAAGTGTGTGTGCGTGCGTGCGTGCGTGTGTGTTTTTTTGCAACACAAAAAGTGAGGGTCTGCCTTATATAACTCAACGTTTCCTCATAAAATCAGAGCCAGCAGTGGGTTGCCTACCCATGTGCTTTACACGTACCTCCTTGGGAAAAGAGTACAGCACATCGGGCTGGGGGGACATGCTGGGGTTGACGCACCGGTAGCCAATGAGCAGCACAAAGTCAAACAGCTTCTCCGTCCCATCTTGACAACCTTCGCATGATGCATTGTATGTGTATCCCTGCAGAGTGGCAGTTTGCATGTTCAGGCATCACAGTTGCAAGGGCTTCTTGATGCTACACTTTTCACCACACCATTACTATGAAATGCCAGCCTGGCAAATACTTGCCGCACTAAGTCCCAGTGCATTAAGGTTTCATTCGAGCAGGGCACACCATCATTGTGCGCTAGGCCGTATGGGGTGGGCAGTGCAGTAGTCAAAGTAATATTCAAAGATTAAACATCACAAGGTTTGACAAATCAGCAATAAAATGAAGGCAGCATGACATAAGAGACATGCAAAAAAATAATAAGAATTAACCACTGTGGTAACTTAGAAAAAAGGGTGTTGCATTGCAAAGCCCAAAAGCATGCGGCTTGATTCCCAGCCACAGTGGCCACATTTTATCGGGGAGGAGAGAATGGCAAAAAACACCTACATGCGTGCACTCGGGTGCATGATGAAGAGCGCTAGGAGGTTAAAATTATTTCAGAGTTCCTCAATATGGCATGTCTCACAATCATGTAGTGCCTTTGGCATGTAAAACTCCAGCAAATACTTTAAGAAATAACTCATCATACTATCAATGTTCAATATCAAGAATAAATTCATTATTTCTTTGTCGGTTCACCTATACAGATAACACAAAATATCCTTGTGAAATATCAAAATTATAGGATACGGTAACAAACAGTAGGAAACAATTTGCACTGAAACAGAGGTTCATGAAAAGAAGAAGTGGAATAGCTTTTTGAGGAGTTTTTGAAAAACATCATCTAGTAAGGGAAACGTAATCACAGGGACAACTTTCTTCCATGAAAAGCAATCGGTACGTCACAAACTGTACAAAGAAAGTTGTGGTCATTCACAAGCGAGGAAAACAATCAGCACTCTATCTCCCAAGTGTGACCTGAACATTTTAGCTGCTGACCACCTCAGCTATTTCGGGCCAAATTGGTGCCATGAATCACAGGTAACCACATCTACATCACATAACTGAATGCTTTGAATTTCGTATGTGCATCTCTGACTGCTGGTGCCATAATCGCTAACTTCAGCCAGGAATGTTCACTTTTCTTGCCACTTCTTTCCAGTCTCGCCCTCCTTTCTGACGATTTCAAGAACACATTCAGGGAGAAAACTTGAAAAGCACAAAAAAAACAAAGATGAAACACATACAACGGGACTGGCTAAATATTGTTACATGCACGGGTTCTCACCTCACTGCCAATGGTCTCGCGGTCATAAGACAGACCTGCGCTACTACAATGGCACAGCCCCTCATGAGCTGAGAAAAACATTGGTGTCTGTGCCTGTTACATGGCCAGGCAAATACAACATTTTTTTTTTCAAGTGCATTTCGACACTATTATTAGCTGACCTACTGCTGAATTTGAGAAAAAAAAAAAACAAATAGTTGTAAGCTAAAATTAAATAACTCCAGTAAAGGAAGAATTTTCCATTAATTTTTAATTTCTAAGCATGAAACAATTGCAGAACTGGACTTGTTTCTTTTCATCATGACAGTGTTAAGGAGCTCATTTCACAGAAATTACGCCGTCAGCATAGTTGGTTGCGAGCGAAAAATAATCATTTTTGCATGATCAAAAAATCACGACAGATGCAAATAAAGTTAATAAAAAAAATTAGTGGTCTGAGTGAGGATCGAACCCGGGTCATTTGTGGGGCAAGTGAATGTTCTACCACACAGCCACACCTTTTATTTCTTTCAACACGATATTTACTAGAATGTACGTTAAAATAGTACACAAAATCGCACAGAGTTGCACTGCTGCAGTACTATAGCGACAATGAGCATACAAGCACTGCTTAGAAAGAAACTCGAAGGTTCAAGTCCTATGATCTAGGGAGAGTTCGTCATTATGCGCTGCAAAACAAAAATGGCGAAGCTAAGCACTGCAGCAAGATGGGGTACAAGTCCAGTTGAAAGTCCAGTTTCTCATAAAGATATTTTAAGTGAATAGCCATTCGAATGAAATATGTGCGTGAAGGGGTTATCGGTTCTGCGTTGGGGTCCTGCATATGCGTCTTCCACGACAGCGTATACCGATAAGGAAGAACATATCGTATGGCACTTCATGAAGAGATGTTGGCAAAAGATAACAGTGTACGAATTCTTTACAGTTTTTTTTGCCATAGAGTTAACTGCAGGACATCCCAGAATAAAACGGCGTCTTTGCAGCTCATGTAACATGCTCTATTATTTCGGTACATCACAGAGACGGCTATTACTATCAAAACTAAAATATGTTTCCTGTGTAACCAAGTTTTAACAGCTACTGTATGAGAATGAAGTTTATGGAATGGAATGAACAAACTTTATTTCAGTCCTGCCGGACACGCTTAGCACGTAGCGGGCGTCTCCCACGTAGGGACCGACAGGGAGTACCTGGCGGCCGCTTCATGGGCCTGCTGGACGGCCCATTGCTGGTCGGCGAGAAGTGAGCTCCTGAGGGACCTCTCCACTTGCTTGAGGTAGAGTCGGGAGGACCTGTTCTACACTCCCAGAGCATGTGTGCGAGTGTCTAAAAGAATGTTTTTGAATTGGGCGAAGTATACATTTCATACACCCATTTTAACACAACATGGCCTTGAAGATCAAAGTGTAATGAGCGGTACAGCAGAGGAGCAAAGAGCATAGATAGCAAATCTTTTTATAGTGTCTTGCATGAAACAGTACACAAATATTCCATTGAAAAGCGGGTTTCAAGAAATTTAACGGCAGAGTAAATTTCCTCCATAAATCCCTGCAAACGCAGGCGCACGGAGAAGTTTGAAGAAAAAAGAATGTCAGGTAAGGATTTGAAGTTTAACTTGCAAGAATGAACCAATGATGGGATGGAAACCATCATGCAAAAAGAATAATCGCAAGGCCATTTGCCATAAATAAAGATGTTTTGATCCCAACTCTTCATCACTAACTCTTGTGGCTGTGAATATGTTGTCACGAGCCCATGCGTCGTCACAACATATCCACAGTCATACCTCTGCTTGTGAATACAGTGAAAATAACTTCCTATGCTTCGAAATCCAGTGAAAGTAACTTTCGTGCTTTACAAACGCCTGTGTCCTGTATACATGTTTCACAATACAACATGAATGTTGCAACATGTTGTTGTACAACATGGCGTCAGTACATAAGATTATCATGATGATTTCATAGTTTAAAGCCAGTCACCCACTACAAAAAACTCCCACGCTACTGCACCCTTAAGGCCACGTAGTGGGTGCATAGCAAGTTCAAAAAGATTTTATATCTGAAGTACGCACTGGGAACAGAATATCCATATCGCGTTCAACTCTTCAAGGCGAAGCTCAAGCATTCCCTATTTTTTATTTATCTTTCTCACTTTATTTTTTTTCTCCCCATTTTCTTTGTCTTCCTGTCCCTTTCTCACTTCCACATTTTTTTAGTTCCTCCATCTCTATTTATTTCTCTCCCTTTTATTATCCCTCTTTCCATTGCTTTCCGTCTCACTTTCTTCTTCTTCTATCGCTTTCCTGATACTGTTCCTTTCTATAACTTCTAAGCCCTCTAAAGGGAAGTCTGTCGTATGCTGTTGCCGTTGCTTAGCATAACGCAGGCAAAACTATCCATAGCATAGCCAGCTGCATATTCAGCATGCATTCAAATTAAAGAGAAGTTTTTCTCTTCTTTTTTAAGCGTCGTGATGATAATTTTACAGTCGAGCCCATATATAACGGCACCATTTAAAACGAACGATACATGCGTGACCACGAAGTTAAACATTGTTTTAGTGGCACAAAATCGCACTTACAACCAGTGGCGTAACTAGATAGAACAGCGCCCATGGCAAATCTATTTCCACGCCCCTCATGATTGTAAAGACAGCAATTCTTTCATTACGATAGCAGTTCCATGTACAATCTTGGCTGGTTTTCGCCGTTGCCGCCGCCGTCATTCTTGCTGCGTGCGTGTGAGAGAGAGAGTGTGTGTGTGTGTGTGCGTGTGCGTGTGTGTTTAGTGTGGGCATTTGTTACTTACATGGTCATCATCCCTGCGTGATCACAATCACCATCATCAGCTTGTCTCTTTGTCCTCATTGCCACTCTGGGTCATCATCATCGTCACCGCCTGTGTACTGGCTCTGCCCGTTCGTTTTGCGAGGTCTTTGCCCAAATAAACGCTGACGCAGTCAAGACTACCAAGACTTCATACGTGGTGGAGGTGGATTTTCGGTCCTCTGACCTCCCGCAGCCCGCTATACCCCCTCGAGCTTCGTTCAGGCCGCCGCTTGCGCCCACAGTCAGGCAGCATGTCCCAGACCGAGCCTGCCGGCACTGATGTCATCAACCACGCACCGCCGCAAGCTGCCCCTCCTACCTACATACACGGACATCAGCGGGAACTCCCGCTCTTCGCTGGTCTTCGGGGAGAAGACGTAGAAGACTGGCTTGATGACTACGACCGTGTAAGTGCCGCTAATAGGTGGGACGAGGCCACCAAACTGCGTTACGTGCCTTTTTATCTGACGGAAGTCGCGAAGACATGATATTTTAACCACGTCATTGACTTACCCGTCTGGGCTACCTTCCAGCAGCAGCTGCGACATGTCTTTGAGACACCAGACATTCGATTCCGCCATCGCGAAGAGGACTCTCGATACTCGCCGACAACATCCCGGTGAATCGTACACTGCATACATCGAGGATGTCTTCACACTGTGCCGGTGTGTCAATCAATCCATGCCGGAATCGGACAAAGTGCGCCATTTAATGAAAGGCATTGGGCCTGTTGCCTTTTATGCCCCCGCTGTGCAAAACCCAGCTAGCACCGCTGATGTCGTGACGACATGCCAGCGCCTTGATGTGCTGGCCTTCGCTGGCCTTCGCCCTTCCGCCATTCCACTTCTCCACTTCGGCCTGCCTCATTCACCTCTGATATTCATTCGGAAAACTAAAAGATGCAGTTTCTGAAGGAAAAACTGCACTCGGAATTAGAACTGAAATTCCTCCATCAGGCCTGTGTAACATGGCTT